ATATCATTTTAGAAGGTTGGTTTTTCAAAATTTCATAAATTAATGCAACATTTTGCACTGTGACACAATTCAGAATCACATACAGATCAATTAACTAAAGGTAGGATGAGCAATAAATTGAACGAGCAAACATTATCCCAATTTTTAATTAGCCACATGTGACTTAAGCATTCATTTGGGTTTACTTCTAATGGCAAGTATAAAAAATTAATTCTTTATTCTAGTATAGAACATACAGTAGAGATTTATTTCTACTCTGTTCTTAATCTGTTACTGACTTATGCTTTTTCTGTTTCTTGTATATTCGTTTATTAAAAACAATTTATCCTATTTCTGTATTAATCTTCACTTTAAAAAAATTCATAGACTATATAAATACCGTATTTTCCGGCGTATAAGACGACTTTCTAAACCCTGAAAATCTTCTCAAAAGTCGGGGGTCGACTTCCGGTGGCTTGGTGACGGCCGATGGAGGCTTTTTGACAGCCTCCCATCCGGGACTGCGTTAAAGCTGCCGAAACAGCATCTATCAGCTGTTTGGCGGCTTGAGCTTTCTCTCCGGGAGAAGGAGAGAAGGCGAGCTTTACTCTGAGTAGGAGTAGAGTTCCCTAGTCTCCCTAGGAGTTTCCAGGGAGACGAAGGTGAGAACTCCGGAGCTCAGAGCTTTCTCTGACTATAAGCTTAGAGCTTTTGCTGATGATTTGGTTTTTACTTTATCGCAACCGATCAACTCAGCAAGAAACTTGATACAGATTTTGACACAGTATGGGAAAGTTTCGGGATTTAAAGTAAATAATAATAAGACTAAAATACTATCTAAAAATATGTTTTTGAAAGATAAAGAGACTTTAAGTAACCTAACTGGTTTTGAAATAGTGAAAAAGGTGAAATATTTGGGTGTTTATATTACTGCCTCTAATGTTAAATTGTATAAAAATAATTATGATAAGTTATGGATAAAAGTTCAAAAGGATTTAAATGAGTGGAAAAAGTTACAGTTATCACTATTGGGGAGAATTTCAGTGGTTAAAATGAATGTTCTTCCTAAATTTCTTTTTTTGTTTCAGATGATACCTATTTTAAAAAAGGATTTAAATTTGGAAGAGTGGCAAAGAGGTGTCAATAGGTTTATTTGGCAGGCAAAAAAAACCGAGGGTTAAATTTAAAATTTTGCAAGATGCAAGGGAAAGAGGGGGACTTAAAGCCCCAAATTTAAAATTATATCATGATGCGGTGGCTTTAACTTGGATTAGTGATTGGATTAATTTAACTAATAGAGATATATTGATTCTTGAAGGTTGGGATTTAATTTATGGATAGCATGCTTATTTATTTTTTGATAAGAAAGTTGATCATGTTTTTAGGTCTCATATTTTGAGAACTGCACTTTTGAGAGTTTGGAAAAAGTATTATTATAAGTTAAGTTTTAAAATCCCAATGTGGGCTATTCCAGAACATGCAATACAAGGAATTACAATGGGAGTTAAATTAGAGGGAATTGTTTATAAGGACTTACTTATCTTAAGGGGACAGGACTGGCAAATCAAATTATTGGGAATTGAGACAAGATAATATTCTCCAGTCCTGGTTCTTATATTCTCAGTTGGTTGAGAGATGGCGTATAGATCAAAAGTTAGGTTTAACATTGGAAGATGTGAACTTGATAAGACAGATTAAAGATCAAAGCAGAGCTCATATTAGGAGAATATATAGTGCTTTGATAGAGTTTGATTCGGAAACAGAATTAGTTAAAGATTGTATGATTAAATGGGCTCAAAATATTCAAGAACCAATTATGTTAGAACATTTCTTACCCAATTATGTTAGAACATTTCTTACCCAAACAATTTGGGTAAGAAATGTCAAGTTCACTCAAGCACAGAATTTAAGGGAAAATTTTTATAAAATGTTTTATAGATGGCATTTGGATCCCCAAAAATTGTCTTGCATGTACCCGAACTTGCAGCCAAAATGTTGGAGATGTGGTAATTTGGATGCAACTTATTATCATATCTGGTGGACATGTAGGGATGTTAAAGC